GATTTTTCCACAAAAAAGTAGCGACAGATACGTCTGTGAGCTACTTGACCACAGCCTTTCAGATTTTTTTTTTTACGTTTGCAAGGAGTGTTTTAGTGTAAGTTATGCAGTGCTGTAAATGTTGCTGTTAGGAGCTTACTTCTTGGTTCATCTAACCACAAAGAAAAGATTTATTAGAAACATCTTTGGCTAGGATTGGCACAAGACTAGGTGCTAAATCTTGGTTCAGCTTGCAGAAGCTGAAGGGAAAGTCACACATGCCTCCGCTGCTTACCACTACTCATGCTTCCTTTTTTATACCATAAAGGAACAAAACATATCTCTGGTAAACCAATTTTCCTCACTGGTTGAGAGAAAAAGTTAGGCGTCATGGCAATAAGATGACTAACTGCTACCATCCTTCATTCCTTCCCTCCCCCGTTGTACTTCTTCCAAAGCATTTTGCAGAGCCAAGCTGTCATTTCACAAATCAGGTAAAGTTTTATAATAATTGGTGGCTGTTATTGCTCCAGTCTGTTTGTAACATGTTGAAGTTCTTTTGTATTTGAAGCCTGTGGGATTGCTTTGCAGTGTGCAAGGCTGAGCCTATGGGGGGTGGCTTCTTTGCTTTTCCAGGATCAGGGCTTTGCATTATAGTATCTGCCATTAAGGATCTTAAAATGTTTTACAAAGGTAAGTAAGGAATAACTGCACTTTGTAGTTGTGGGAATGAGGACAATCAAAGTTAAGTAACAAGGTGACGTTTCAGTTTAGCAAATAGCAGAATTGAAAACTGTCTAGGAAGTTTCGTTCTAGATAACAGCCTCTTTTTTGGGCAGGAACGTATACCTGTCTAGCATGAATGTAGCTCATAACGCCTCATATTGTTCAGCCAAAAAATAGCCTTTTCCCCTCTGTACGGGTCCTTATGCTATACATGTAGATAGGATATTGAGAATATTGGGATCATCATTACACAGTGGACCGAGCACAGATCTGCAAACCAGGAGCACCAGGGCTCCTCTCAGCTCCAATCCTGGCTGAGCCCTTGGACACTTTGCTTTAGTATGCATGTGCATGTCTTCCCATCTGCAAAGGGTGGATGATGATCACCTGCCTTGCAGCAGCGGTAGTGAAAATGAAATGTTTGAAGATGTGCAATGCTAAATGGTCTTTCATAGAATCATGGACCCATTTCAAGGTTGCTTATTATACAGTATTACCAAACTCTGTCAAACCAGTTTAGGCACCATGCAAGGTCACTACGACTTTCAGCCTCTCTCTGCTACTTGCATCTGTGTCTGATACTACTTTTTATCTCTGTCTGCATTGTATATTAGCCGAACTACTTCATACTATTTTGAGCCACATTACTGTACATTGTCACATACTATACTGTTTTTAAATTGGATGACATGGTAGTTTGTTGCTTGCAGTCTCTACTTACATTGTTTAGATAGTGTTGATTGTTTTTAAATGATGTTATGTATCCTAGTGACAGTGTGCCTAATTTGAGTTACTCTGTGTTAGCTATACAATTTATTAAAGCACTTGATAACTTCAGTGTTGTAGAGGGTTAGCCATTATTTTGGTTACCAAATCCCAACTTTTTGTGTTGGAAATTGGAATTTGGCCTAATTCTGAATAGATTGTTCTTGGTGTGTGAGGGTGTGATTTTTATTTTTTTCCACCCTCAAATGCACCTTTTCAGCTTCTGTAGGCTGTATTTTACCATGTGTTTTTTTAGCTTGCTTTACTGGTATCTTTGATCTTAGGTAGATGCAGTTTATTTGTCAAAACAGTTTATTTTTCTTGAATGTTGACTTCCTTAAAATGCAGTGCTGCTTATAAAACTTATTAAAATAAGGATTTATAAAAGTAAAAAAAACCCCTGCAAGGATTGGAAATGTAGGCAATGTATTTTAATTTGAAGAGACTTACTGAAATTCTTTATAAATCCTCATTTTCAGAATAACAATCTGAGGCACATCCTTAAAGTGACTTGCTTAAAGAAGCACAGTGATATTTAACATAAATAGGAGTAGGATCCACATCTTTTATTGCTCAGTCTCATGCTTCTCTGTGCACGTGTCTTCCCAGTGTGATGTACCCATATGCTGAGCGAGCGTACATGCTCCCTATTGCTTAGTCCCATGCCTGTTTGTGCGCGTCTCCTCCCAGTGTGACACATCCGTATGCTGGGCAAACATACCTGTGCACAATGTCCTTATTACATAGCATAACCTGGAATACTCCATCTCCTTTCCCAGCACCAAACCCTGCAGTGACTCCAGTCTGCAGATTAGAGCTCCTTAAATGCCACACCAGAGGATAACAACTTTGAAGGAGCTGTAGTAGACTGGTCTTGACAATCCATGGAGTAAAGCAGTGGTGCACTCAACCTTTTGCCATGGGTTGGCACCATGGCCTGACCCCCGTGCACCAGGATTGGGTCCTGCAGCTATCAGTCTGACTCCATGCTGCCCCAGCCCCACATGCCTGGTTTAATGTTCAGGGTCAGGTCCACTGAGCTCCCCACAGATCTGGAAATTTGGCAGCAGAGGAGCAGCAATTAGTGCTGCCACTGCTCCCCTGCAGCCAAAGTTTTGGACTCGTGGGGAGCCTTTCTGCAGATAGCACACCTTTGCGAACCAGATCTGGCCTGATGGTTGGGGGGTGAGGACCCATGGTATGAAGTACTGTTCTGTATTACCTGTCTGTTGGTGGTTTCCATACTGCTTTTTAATGGCATGAAAAATGGAGAAGAGAAGGGCTGAAGGCAGGGTGTAAGTTCTAGTAATGACTTCATCTTTCTTTTTCATCCTCTTTGCCTTCCCCCAACCCTCTTTCCTGCCTTCCTTTTCTTCTGTATCAAGTTAAAATTCCTTGACCTTTTTTAAAGCTCTGCATAACTGTATACCAGTGCATGTGGCACACTGTCTGTTAGCGGTGTGCAAAGCAGGCAGTATTTGATTCGGATTTGGCCCGATTCGGGGGACAGTGATTCGATTTGCTGATTTGGAACACTGTCCCGATTTGATCCAGCTGAATCTGAAGATTCGAGTCTGATTTGGAGAATCAGCAATTCAGCCGTAGACACAGCTTTATATGTGGGGGTTTTTTACATACCTCGAGGTACCAGGTGCGGCTCTTGAACGCTGAGATGGTGGGGTGGACGGAGTGTCCCACAGAGCGCAGGGGCGGGTCCGCTGCTGAGCATGCGGGGGAGAGGGACCCCAGTTGTCCTCCCAGACCCAGGAGGTGTTAGATGCCAAGCCGGGTGGGGCAGGGGGTCCCCCACGTGCTCCATGGCAGACCCGGAAGTGGACTGGAAGTACTTCTGGTCCACTTCTGGGTCCGCCACTGAGCACACGGGGGACCCCCACCCCATGCTTCCGTGGGATGATCCATCTACCCCACCATCTCAGCGTTCTCAAGCCACCTGGTACCTTGAGGTATGTAGAAAAAACATGTAAAGCTGTCTATGACTGAATCATTGAATCTCTCCAAATCAAATCGGAGGGTTCCGATTTGATCCGGAGAGATTAATGGGTCTTCAGATTCGGAGATTCAGCCGCCAAATCGGGCGGCATCTCCTCCAAATCGAATGGGCGACCGAGGCTTCACGCAGGCCTGCTGTCTATCCCCTGATGCTCACCATCAATTTACCTTTTCCGTTTTCATGCCAAGTATTAACTTGTATGTGTAGACAGGGTTATTTATATAAGGTCTTTAATGCTTTAATGTAAATTGTGATATTAGCATTTGTGTATTTGAAAAGGTCGGTGTTTATTTACAAGCGTAGGGAAGGGATGAGCATAGAACTTAGGTGCTGCCGTGACGGAGGATGTTAGAAATACTTGGAGAAATAACTGTGGATATCAGATACATTTTTCCTTATTTCCAGAAATCATTTCTCCCTAAAAATACAAGGAACTTGGGGTAGTTAGTTCTTATTAATTATATTACTGATTTTAAATGTATTCACATGAGAGAGCATAGATTATTTTTCCCCATATTGGTTACAGTTAATGGCATTTTTAACTGACTGCTTCAAAATAATAAGTTGAGCAATTAAAATTTCAAACCAAATAATTGCTGAAGGCAAACATTGTCTACCAACCTTTCCAGTTTTTTACACAAATTTAAAACCCCAAAACAATTCACCAAATGGTTTGCAAATTTGCATGCCTCGTGTATATTAATATGTGATCTATACAATGATGTGATAATTTCCTCCACTTCTCTCTTTCTCACTGCAAGTGTTGCCCTTTATGAGCAACACTTGGCAAAATGTTACATCAAGTACAGCCTTTTGCAGTGTCACTCGTATTCTACATGATGCCCCTGTTTGTGTCGCATTTTATTGTCATTCCCACACTTAAGGGCAGCATGTATTATTCTGTGCAGGCAGCTTTTAAAGCTAAGAGTAATTCTTCTATTCATGCAGTGCTTTTTGTAGAAGATGCTGTTTTCTAATGTCTGGAACAAGGGGCCATGGAGTCAAGAATTTGAATTCTGAGTCTGTTCATATTTCTGCCATTGATTTGCAAGGACCTTGGGCAAATTGCCTGATCATACTGTGCATCTGTGCTCACTTTTACAAAATTGAGATGATACATACCTGAGAAGTTTTTGAAGCTTAATTTTTTGTAAATTGCTTTGAATATTTATAAAACTTTGCTCTTGGATAGGAAACTGTTCGGGCTGTAAGAAATTGCTAAAGCTTAATTTTTGTCAGAATGAAATACATTAGTTTCTGTTTATCTAACTGGATAGTTTCTCTTGTTCCTTTTCAGAGTTCAGACAGGTGAATCTAAGGTTTACAAAAATGAGATGATGTGCTTCTGTACTGTGGACAGGAGGCAATTTTCAAATTGATTTCTTTTCCTATATAAAAGTATTCATCTCAAAGAAAAGTGTAGCAGGAAAATATGATTTATTGGCAAATAATTGGACTGTTTCCTCTCTGAACAGATTCCTG